TGCGTGACATCCCTTTGATGTCCTGCTGCACTTCTCTACAATTTAGATTTAAATTCTGTAACGTTTTAAATAAACAATCCATGCTGCATTTAAATTTAAATTGTTTATTTAAGGAGGGAGATTGGGAGTAACAGGTGATGAGGGAGCGTGATTGCAGCCTGGCATGTGTCATGACAAAGTTCACTGAACTTGGATTACTGCATCCCTACTTCGAGGTTTTCCACTTATCGCAGGTGGGCGTGGTCCCAAACACCCGCGATAAACGAGAAACTACTGTATGATCAAACCTACGAAGAAGTCCAGTTGCGTTTTATTTAACCACTTGGCCAAGTTTCACAGGAAGTGAGGAGATCTGAATGTATTTCTATGGTAAAAATAATTGGAAAGTGATACATTTTAGAAGGAAGAAAATTAGAAAAACCAAAAGTCGCAGCACCAATCTCCCGAATGAGCTGAACGTTTTGATAGATGGAACAGCTAAAAGTATGCAGTGGTTAGATTAAGAATAACGTGGAAAAAATTAAAAACTAATGTGCGCTCTCTTTAGATATTTAAATAAACTAAACAATATGAAAGTCATTCGTTTTCTCCGTTCCTCTTTAGGCACAAACATTTCTCCAAATGATCAGAAGCAGCTAAAAAAAAGTGGCCCAGAGGACGAGGACTGCAGGAAGTGAGCAACGCTGGCAGCTGTAAGAAAGATGACTGATGTATGAAGCAGATGGAGTGTTTTATGACCTGTAGCAGCACTCCATTTAAGTGTGTGCAAAATTGATGGCCAACCATTATTGACCTATGTAGCCACTACAGGACTGAAAGCTGCTCTCCCACTTTGAGGGAAGAGGGGGGTTCTTCTTCTCTTTTTGACAAGGTGGGAAGAAGGTGCGTTTGATTTATGTTACTCTTCAGCAGGTTGGTGTTCAAGCAATGCAAGTATATGAATGATTTATCTATCGAATTAGAAACAGAGGAGATGATGGTGGAAAATGAGTAAGTGATAAAAGGCAGAGCGGATGATGGGTCAAAACAAGATGGGAGGGAAAATAAGATGGAAATGATTAAACTTTAATGGAAAGACGGAAGGGAAAACAACTTTTGAGCATGAAGATGTGATGCAAAACTACGAGGAAAACTAAAAACGTGAGGAACAAATACACATATGAAGGGAAAAGCATGGACCTGACAAGTTATTTATAAT